GGAGGGGGCACGGGGCCAGCGCAGCCATCATTCCCGTCTCCATTTGCTCCTCATTTGGGCCAGGAGTCTTACAACAACAAACCCCGCGGAGGACAAGCAGGGCCAGGAGGAGCGAACCGAAAGCCCGAGCTCACCCTGCAGGCATGGGGAGTTCAACCTGCTGGCATTTCACTGCCTCTCTGACCCCAGCACGGGCGACGCAGCCCGAAGCAGACACACAGACGGTGGCATATAGTCACCCACCAGCCACCAAGGCTGGCCAGAAAGGTGACAGCAAGCCACAGACCTGAGCCACTTAGGCAAACCTACCCTGATAATTAATAGACAACAAGCAAAACGAGGCACCATAGCTCCCCAATCCTTCCCGACGCTGAAAGGGTTTAATTCTGATCTGCAGTAAGCCTCTGATCCAGGCTGAGATTTGCAGGTGGATTTTGCAAAGCTGTAGCTAAACAATTCACAGCCCCTGATCGCCCCTTGCCCCCTCCCCCTGCCCCAACCAGCCATCTCTGATACTGGGTGACCACCGGCTGCGGCCACCCTCGGTCCCACACCACGTCTCCAGCCGCCTCCGTAAGTACCGCAGAACTCCAGCATGACCCTCCCGTGCCTTTTTGCTGGCACCCCGAGCACCCCAGGTGTTTCTTTTGCAGCAACACCTCTGAGATGGAGCAGGAGGTCTTGGTTAGCGCACAGGATAGGAGACAGAAATTTGGGAAACTTTGGTACCAAGCTGGCGAGGGAACGGGGAGAGGAGCGGAGGCAGTGGGCCGTGGCGGCACTCTCAGCCAGGAGTGTTCCCAGGGCGAGAGGCTGCTGGCCGCAGTGTCGGTGCAGTGTGGTGTGGGCTCGGTCCGGTTTCGCAAGATGCTGCAGGAGGGGGAATTTTGAAACAAGGCAGAGGGAAAACAAACCACCCCACTCCACCACCTCTGCCAAACCGCCCCGCCCACACCCAGGGCTGCGGGCAGGAGATGGCACCAGCAGAAAAACCCACGCTGATGGCAGCGAGCACGAGCTGCACCCCAGTGTGCTCACCCCACCGAGGGACAGGTCACCCTGCTCAGCCAGGCACTCCGGGGAAGCATCCCCGAGGTGCTGCCAGTGTGCTTTGCCCTGATGTATTTCTGCCCTCCGTGGACCTCCGGGCTCTCCTGGGGACACAGGCATCACTGTCACATGCATCCCTCTCCATCGTTGTCCCCAGCGGCATGGAAAGGCCGATAGCAATGGTTCAATCTCAGGTGGGCGCATCCCGTTGTCCCGCCGGAGTCTCGGCAGCTCAGGGTGGGTGGTGGGTGGCTGCAGATGCCTTGGGTGAGCCCTGCGCAGATGGGGATGAGGCGCAATCCCCCTTCCTCGGCTGGGGGAGCCTCAGGGCCACCACCTGAAATCGCCTCCGGCAGGTCCCAAATAACATGGCGCAACTGTAGCTTTTTGGCTTTCTTGGCTCGGGACATCACAGAAGACAAGGGACCCCCAGGAAGGCAGCGGGCACTTTCCTCCCACCAGCGGCTGACTCTCCATCCCTGCCTGCGGCCCCGGCGCAAGGGAGGGCTTTGGCATCCTTCCCGGGCAGCGTTGCTCTTTCTCTGAAGTCTGGCTGGGGAGATAGCAGAGGTGAAAGGGCGCTTGGCGCTCCTCCACAAGCTTGGGTCAATCGTTAATCGGGGAGGGATTGCTTTCCACTCTTGCAGGTAACTTCTCCTCCCCCCGGCTCCCACCCACGTGCCAGTGCCCGCACAAAACCAGCACCCCAGGGAGTGGGGTGGAGCTGCAGCGCAGTGAGTGGAGCCGCCGGCAGGGCCATGGGAAGGTAAGCGTGCGGGAGTGAGCCACTGGCAAGCCGGGCAAGAAGCCGCAGGCCCCAGGGAGGTGACAGCCAGCCCTCACCATGGTCTCCATGGGGCTCCAGCTGCTGGGCTACACCGTGGCCTTCCTGGGCTACATCGGCACGCTGACAACCATGCTGCTGCCCAGCTGGAAGACCAGCTCCTACATCGGCTCCAGCATTGTGACAGCCGTGAGCTTCACCAAGGGGCTGTGGATGGAGTGCGCCACATACAGCACAGGCATCACCCAGTGCGACATCTACAGCTCCCTGCTCAACCTGCCTGCTGACATCCAGGCAGCCCAAGCCCTGATGGTGAGCTCCTGCACTGTCTCCTCCCTCGCATGCCTCCTCACCGTCGTGGGCATGAGGTGCACTGTCTTCAGCCAGGGCTCACCGGGCAAGGACCGGGTGGCGGTGGCGGGCGGCGCAGTCTTCATCCTCGGGGGGCTGCTCTGCTTCATCCCACTGGTGTGGAACATCCATGTGGTGCTGCGGGATTTCCGCAACCCCGTCCTCCCTGACAGCATGAAGTTTGAGCTTGGGGAGGCGCTTTACCTGGGCATCATCTCCTCTCTCCTCTCCCTCGTCGGCGGCTTCATCCTCTGCACCTCCTGCCCTGCCCGGGACCCAACGACCACTTACACAAGCACCTACCAGCCCCGGCTGCTGGCGGGCAAGAGCCCCCGGCCCTCTGTCAGCCAGACGCAGAAGACCAAGAGCGAGCTCAACTCTTACAACTTGACAGGATACGTGTAGCAGCTGCGGGTGGGAATTAGGCTGGCACCTCTCCCGGCTCCCCAGAGCATCCAGGCTGGCACTGAGGGAGCGCAGTAAGAGGAGAGGACACAGCGGCATCTCCCATGCTCAGCCCTCTTGCTCACAGGCTCGGTGGGGTTTGACCCCGCTCTCTCCCCAGGGATCCCGAGAGCCTTACAATTGCTTGGAGATCCCAGCTGGTGGCTTACATCAGTGAAGGACCCCGAATCCGGCTTCTGTTCCCTCCTCCGTGCTGCCAGCCCACAGGCAGCCCCTGGCACAGTGGGACCCCAGCCCGTAGCCCTTGTGCCCCCGGGGGCCAGCCCGCTGGCCACGGAGGCATCACAGGGGGGTAGGCGCCCGCATGGGTCCAGAGTCACCACTGGGGGGGTTGAGTGCTAGTTGCAAACCGATGTCGCAATAAATCTGTGTTTCTAGCCAGGCTGTGGCTGAGCTTTCCTCCGGCACTGAGGGGCCCTGGCAGCTCCCCTGCCAGGGTGGGCTGTGGTGGGGGCCACGCTTGCCTGCCTAGCGGGTCCGTAGTGCAGAGGGCACCGCCAGCCCTTGCTCTGGTGTGTTCCCCGCCTCCCGGGGCTTTGCCACCCAGGAGCCCAGGCGGGTGGGAGCACTGTCTGGGCAGGGGGAGGGGTGACCATGCAGGTCACTCACCTGCATGGTTTGTCCCTGGGCACCGCACTGGGAGGTTGCCATGTGCCACCACTTTGAGGGTACCAGCCGGGGCAAGCATGGCTCCCCCGGGGGGGAAGGGAG